AAAATATTAATTTCAGAATTATCATCCATATCAAAAATTTACTCAATACCATAATATTCTATATTTAAATTCGTAATTCGAACCAAGAATGTACTGAGAGCCCAAATATACTAAAAATAAATATCTAATTCCGAGCTAGAGAATCTGAAAATTTATTAAGAGCAGAAATATATTGAATTTGAAATCGTATTCATTAAAATTCCGAATAATTTTGAAATCCTAATTCAGATCAAGAATTTCTTGGGAATAAAAATATATTAAATTTGAAGTCCTAATTCGAGTCGAAAATTTATTGAATATCCAAATTACTACCTTCTAGAATAATTTTCAATTAAAATCTAATATCAATCGATTTATTTCATATTAAATAATCTGAAGACTATCAACCCCCTTTTTTTTTTTTACGAGAATAATTCTTATATCTATATTTTCTATATTCTTGAATTAGATAGAAAAGGTAAATATTTCAATTTATAGAGATAAGATCTAGATATCAATAGATATAGTCTCTATGAAGTAGCTTTTTTTTTTTTTGCAATAATCATACAATCGCTTGTTTGAGGAAGACCAATTTTGTGTTGTCGATTATTCTGTCGAATCATCTGCTAAATTATAATCCTTAATTCCATATTAGAAGCATGAAATGCTTGCCAATCTGGCACATGATCCAATATTCACGCTCAGCCAGGGCGTGGGGGCTGCGCAACCGGCCTCGAACCAATTTCACCAAGCGAGTGCAGTTCTTGCCGATAGCTGATAGCTTCCCTACCCTCAGCGCTGCCGACCTTTGGTGGCTCATTTGAAGGCTTCCAGAGGTCTCCAGAAAGCTTGAAAAAGCCTGAGTAAATGCAAAGCAAAGGGCTGAGGCTCTCCGTTCGGCTCCTGGGTCTGGAATTGAAAGCTCCTCGACTCTATGACACCGAATTACTCTGGCTATGGCTAAGAGGCTGAGGAGGCACTTGGTCATGTGTAGCAACCCGAAGCCGGTTGTGGGGATTTCGATGCGCATGTTCTACACTGCACCCCAATACCGTAGTAACCTCCTAGAACGTGTGGAACCCCATCAAACTCGGTCTTTTCTGGCTCACACACTCCTCCGCTTTCTACGAGTGCACCCGCGGGGGGTCACCTCAGAAGCGTCAGCTTCGGATGGTGACGGAAGAAATCCGGGCTGCAAAACGTCTTGTCCTGCCCTCGTTTTGCAAAACCTAGGGTCTCTGACCATGTCATAGCAGGATCCTTAAACTCAGACTACCACAGGGAGGGAGGAATCGAGATGAAAGTAGGAGATAGCTTCACTTACAGTGCACAGTACACGACTGCACCAAGCAACAGCTCATGTAAAAGCCAGCCGGGTAAGTCTGACGGCCTTTCTGAAGCCATCCCAGAGCTGGCTGCCCCTAGGGCTCCAGTTACTGAAGCAAAGGGATGTTCGTGATCTTCAAGCATACATCATTGTGACCCAGTACCCATGTAACCAAGGCCCAGTACCTATTGTCTAGCCGACTTGTGACTGGATCCCTGGGCTAGCTGAGAGCTCATTTCAAACGAGAAACGAATTCTCGCTCTCAGACGGATTTGGATAACCAGCGTTTCATGTATCGGATGACAGTTATACTATGAGTCTATGTGTCAAAGGCAATCCTTATCCATAGTACAAAAACTATCTAGGGGCTTTCATACAAAGCTTCCAACGCTGCTTTGCAGACTGTTGGTACTAGAAAACCGTAATGTCAGTAGCCGAAGAATGATTTCACGTTGTTCAAGCTGACCGTTCCTAGGTTTCCCAGTGGCCGCTTAACAATAAATGTGCCCTTTCCACCAATAACTATTTATCGGTTTTTGCATGGAGACCCCGAAATGAAAAAAATGCAAAAAAAGCACTGCTGGGAGATCTAGGTTCCATTGTCGGGTTCCTCATGAGGCATCGGATGCCCCCTGAAACTCTCCGACTGTGCACCCGGGGCCTGGTTCGCCGGCGCGAAGTTGAGGAGAACAGGCCAAAAGAACTGCCTGCTGACCATGCGGAAGGTAGATGTGCAGAACTCCTTTGTGAAAGGCTCACCAAGAGGCAACCCGATCTCCGCCGTCTTGTCTAGTGCTTGTGCTCGGACCTTCCACGTCGATGCGTAGACAATGTATTCAGTCTCCAAGCCTGGATACGACATGGACGTCCTGGTCTCGACATAGCATGACTTCGCGATGGGCACCACCATCTTCTCCTCCAGAAGATGTGCCGAGATGCCCAGCTCCTGCATCAGCTTGTTCGTAGCCTCCTCCTCAGTTTCATTCTCCTGCATGCGCCGGTATGGGAGCTTCCCCAATTTCTGATCCCGTGCCCTCAGCCAAGCGTCTGACTGGAGCTCTACCAACACATGAACGTTGTCGTCGATGACGGCCAGCAAGCGAAGCCTTACCAACCTCACCCGCCGCAGCAGTGTTTGTTGCATCCCGCCCCGGACATTCATGACCAGAAGATCACTTTGGCATGTGTTCAGCTCTTCCACCAACTCCTCCATACCCTTGGAGCTTTCTCCCGCAGAAGCAGCGAGGCCATTTCGGCTGCAAGCAGCAAACAGCTGCTGGACCGCTGCCATCGTGTAAGGCTCCTCATCTCGATCCGCCCAAGCCGACGGCGTGATCGCTTGGCTGTCTTCTCTGGGCAACACGTCGGCCTCTGTCACACCGGTGCTTCTGCTGCCCTGGATCATGGCCCAAAAAACCTTCTTGTGCTTCAGGGCTGCTGCCAGCTGTGCTGGCGTCATGCCATCTTGATCCTGTACCTGGGCAGCATCTCCGCCGAGGGCCCGGATCAAATGCTCTGCGCAGGCTGCGGCGTTCACCTTTGCGCAGTGGTGAAGCACACCCTCACCGAAGAGCAGCGGCATCTCCGGAGACATGCCGTGCTGCTCCAAGCAGTGGAGCATGGCCTTGGGACAATCGTGGTCGATTGCAGCATAGATCACGAGCATATCGAAGAGCTCGGGCATCGCTTCGCTCATCAAGGACTCGAACTTTGACACGTCGATGGAAATGAGCTCGCAAAAGGAAAGGCAGGTCACCGTCTTCAAGCTGCGGCTGGACCCCAAGAAGAGCCGAAACTCTCCGATGAAGGCTCCTCCTTGCAGTCTCGCATCCGGACTTGCTGCGTCAGCCGCCTCGATTTCCTTCTGGATCTCATCGCTCTCCTGCGCAGTTTAGGTTCTGATTCAGAAGTATCAGGGGCATGTCTACCTTCAACTATTTGCATCAGTGTCCTCGGCATCATCGCCAGATGTTGCTGCCCAAGCTTGCAGCCCCAGTCGATTGCGTGTTTGTACCGAGCCGCTTCGGATGTGAAAACAGCTCTTCACCATGGCTCCTTCGTTGATGAAACTGTAATACTATAATGCTATACTACTATAATGGTATAATACTACAATGGTATAATAAAAATACTGGTATAATACTATAATACTACTCTTAACCATGGCTCCTTCGGTAATGAGCTCTTGATGAGGAGGATGAAACTGCATGTCACAGAGGTCACAGACGCTTGCCAGGACTTCAGTGGGAAGCAGCTTCAGCCAGCGGTGCTGGACCAAGCAAGTTCCTGTCAAAGCCAAATTCACTTTCGTCCGAAGGACTTCCGACTTCTTCAGCCAACCCATCAGCATGGACTTGGTCTCTTCGCGTTCCCGATTCTCGAAGACTTGCAGCAAATAGTCGTGAACCCGTGACTGCAGCTCTCTGGGAACTCTGTAAACCTTTAGGAACTTCGAGACCTTTGCCAGCTGTTCCATGTTCGCTGCCGTTCTTTCGCTGAGCTTGGACACGATCGTCGAGACTCCATTCACTGCGACACCTACGACCAAGCTGGTGGTAGCCATGACGACACACAGCAGAGCCCTTTCGTTCGACAGGCTCATGCTGATGTCACCCAGCCCCACGGTGGACATCACCGTGATTGCAAAATACATGGCCGTGGTGTAGCGCTCTCCTGGTCGAGATATCGGAATCAAGACCCGCTTTCAGGGCCAACCTTAACGACCTCAGCCCGGTAAACCCGAAACCTAAAAAAGCCGTGACACGACCCTGAAGGACCAAATGACCCTTAAAAGTAGGGGCCCTCTACCCATATACTATGAATTCCTATAATGGTATCTGAACCTTAAACCCTTTTGGGGTTCATTTCGTCCTTAAGGACCTTCAAATGCACAACGACAACCGTGTGATCTGGGTTCTCAGACCACTCGTACAAAGAGGCACGTATGATCATGGCTTTCAGATCACTTGTACACTAAGTCCCTAGCTTGCTTGTGTGCTTGTCTCTTCTGAAGGACTTCGGGCACTCATTTCCTTGTCGCTTGAAGTTCGGGACCTGTTCTAAGGATCCATACAACATGGATCTTCGATGTACTCCCAGCAACGGAAGGGGCTTGCAAGACAGCGAAAAGCATCGGATCTCTGGTTTATACTGGAGCTGCTGCAAAACTGAGCAGGCATGGAATCGACTTTTGCACTGTGGTTCACATCAACCCTGCCCTAAAAAGTAAACTGTGCTCTGAGGACATGGCTAGGCAGAATGATGGGCCCGGGGCCTGTTCCGACCGTGGATGCCCTAAAGGAAAAGCTGCTGGGACTTTCGAAGACATCCCAATTTCAGGGTTTAGGGTTGTCGGGACCCAGCTTCGAGCCTGATGATTCTCCTCGCCATCCGAAATCCGAAAAGCCAAAATAAAGCAAAACCTTCATACGCAGCCCACGACCCGAGTCGCGTTAAAGCCTGAACGCTGGAGGCCTCAAAGCTCGAACCTCCACGCCCGCAAACAATCTCATCAGTCTGTCTGACAACTGCGTATACCCAAACCGAACGCCCAAACTTTCCACAAACTCGAAAAATTGAGTGCTCTACGCCAACAGCTGCAAGCCAACAGAGCCCGACAAGCTCTAAACCCTGCTCTCAACTGTACCAAATCCCAAACCCTCCGCCCGTACGCACCAAATCCGTGCTCCTAATGGTACGGCTTGCAGAGCGCCGGGCTCCTCGAATGTGGCGTTGAGGGTTTAGGGTTTCATAAGGCTTAGGGCTTACATACGGTTGATGATATAAATCCTGCATGACCCATAATAAGGAATAGACCATAATTCCCATAGTTTAGAGTCCTTAAGGTAATGCAGGATTTATATCCTCAACTGTAGGGTTCAGGGTGTCGGGGTTTCTTCACAAGGTGGAGGACTTAGGACTGTTGGTTTGAGGCCAGTCCACGGTTTGGCTAAGAGTGGTTTGGGGCACAGAAACCCCCAAAAAGCCCCTAAACCCTTACGGTGCAAGGCCGGAGATGGCCTGCACGCTCTGCGGTTCAGGGGTTTTGGGCTGGGGGGAGGGTTTCACGGGATAGCAGAAACGATCTCCAAAGCTTCGGTAGGTTCGAGGGCGGTGGAATGGACAAATTGACCTAGGTCTAGAATGCAAGCATGACAAGTGGTGCTTGCTGGTGCTCCTCGATTTCTGCTATACCCATGGAAGGTTCTGGTGAACGACCTTTGTTTAATGAATACCTGCGGTTGAAATGATGTAATGCAGGGGGATGAGTGACTAGAATAAAGATTTGGCGGGTGTATTGCGCAATAATACTACAATAAACAAGGTAACATCGTCTCGAATAAGCCTGTTACCAGAAACAAACCTAACGCCGAGATACGGGCTGCAGACTTCTTGTTCGCAAAACTCAGAGATGTGTGCAAGCACTTCAGGAACTTCAGGGGTTGGGAAAGCCTAAACCCTAACCCCAACAACCTTATAGATAAACTCTACAGAGCCTTAAACCCTCCCAACCTCAGACACAAAGCCAGTAAGCGCCACAAGCCCCAAATCCCACGCTCGTTGGAGATGTCCTGAGACCTTTACAGAACAACCCTTGCAGAATCTTGCAGAAACCCTTCGGGGGAACCCTCACTGTCCAGTATCGAATGCTTCAATACTTTCAATAAGTCGTTGGGGTCTATTATCGCAAAAGTATACAAGGACTATAAGGGTATGTCCTCACTTTTTATTCCGAAGATGTTCTTACTTTTGTATTCCGACCCCTCCGTGAACCCTTATAGTTATAGAATCCTGAACCCATATAGAACCCTCATCGAGCCCTTGTTTAAAGGGACTCTTCAGAGGCCCCGAAGCCGTCAAAACAACCTTTGCAAGGTACTACAAAGCTCCTTCAGAGGAGCCTTTGTTCAACGAATCCGTTAAAGGAGCCTGTTACAGGACGGCTTTTTTTGCAGAAGCCTTTAAAGGAGCCCTTGAAATGAATACTCCCAAACCCTAAACCCTAAACCCCTGATACTCCAAGGTGCGTTGGAGATGTCCAGGCCCAGTTTGATCCAGCTGGGTGTGTCTGGGTCGGCTTCCAGGTTGCTGTGGCCGAGGGACCATAAGGCACCTCTACTATTGATCCCCCCATGAAGGATTTGGGGGTCGTTTGAAGGTTCTATAAAGGTTTCATGAATACTCTGTTCAAGTTTTGTGGTTTAGGGTTTCGGGTTTCTGGCTGCTTTTTTTGCAGGGAGGGTTGAGGTTTTCGGACTTGAGGTTTAGCGGCGTTTGGTGGTGTTTCAAGTCTCAGGGTCTTTGTCAGCAGCTTCGGGTGTAAGTCCATTGTTTGCGACGCGGAGGGCGCTAGGGTCCCTTTGAGAAGAGGCTTTGGATTTGGGGTCTACGGCATGGGATGTTGGGGTTTATCGCTTCAGGGTTTACGGCAGCTTATAATCGAGTGGACATCCCGGTGCGTACGGTATTGTTGGGGCTTAAGGTTTCAGTGACTGAGGTGAGCTTGTGGGCTTTGAGCTTAGTGTGTTGTCAAAATTGAAGGCTTAGGGACTGTTCGGGTTTGTTGGACAAACGCTGCACAAGGATTTCCTACTGGATGCCTCCCATCTCGGTAACCCTATACAGCTTCTTCTGGAACAACGTTATCATACCTGCACTTATGGTAACCCGTGTGGTAGCCCTTATAGTAACCCTCATGGAACCCTTCTTGTATGTGAGCCCTTATAGTGTTATAGAAGCTGCACTGGTGTCATGGCACCCTCTCAAGATGTCGCTTTAGGATTTAGATACAGGGATTTACGGAGAGTTTTGCAAAATAAAGACTGGGTGTCAAGTCAAGTAATGGCCTCCATGTTTGGTATAAGGCTGCTTTCCTTGCGGGTCCCGTTAACAGTGTTGCTGCAAGGGTTTAGTATAGGGCCAAATTAGATAGAAAAGAGCTAGGGTACGGTATAGTATACCGTACTTATTCAAACAAGGAGCCCAGGGACTAGCATAGTTTCAAGTCTACGGGTCGCGCGAATTTCTCTTTCCATGCATTACACCCGGGACTCAGGAAGATGGCTTGTTCGAGGGTTACCCTGAAACCCAAACCCAAAGGATCTTCGCGGAATGAAGCTAGGCACAGGCGGAGAGGTGCGAGAACACAATGGGAAGCATGAACAGCTGGAAAAGCCACCAGGCCGAGGAAACCACCGAGGATTTCCTGAGGCGATCAACACCAAGCACGCAAAATCGAGTATGATAGCGTTTGCATATGCACAGGCACACATAAGCACACATGTGCATGCATTATCGCTCATGCGTACATACATAGGTACATACATACATACATGCATACAGTACGTACACACACACACACACACACACTCGGACAGACAGGCAGACAGACGGACGGGCAGACAGACAGACGGGCAAACCACAAAGGCAGGCTGACCGACCCACCGACCGACCCCGATCACCTGTTCACCCACACCCAGCCACCCATATACCTATTTACCGGCTCGCTTACTTACCTACCAACCACCGTCTGATACGACCATGGAAAAACACTTGCTCCAGCGAATCAAATATGACAAAAACGCCATGAGAGTTCATACTACAATCCCATAGACTGCAATGAAACAGCAAATTGACGGCACATTACAGCACAGAGTCGCAACCCAGCAATACAGCACAAGATCTTGCATCAACATACTGAGCCGATCCAAACCGGACGGCGAGTGAATAAACCAGAGATTGGGGAAAGGCGAAAAGAGAGAACCCGGCAGCCCAATGGGAGTTTCCGAAAATTAGGGAGTACCTCATTTTGGGGTCCTCATAATAAGGATCCTACTTTGTAAGGTACCATATTAGGGTCCCCTATTTTCGGAAACTCGCAAATTGCAAGCCAGGGGTCATGTTGGCTTCCAACCGGCTGAGCAGCGTGTAGGCCCCACGGAAGCGGATCGCGCGTACCAGAGGAGTAAGACCTGCCAACCTCACAGTTCCGAAACGGGAGCCTTAATGATCAGAACTTGGCTCCTCTTTCTTTCAGGGATTCCCTTAAATTTAAGAGGGTTTCCAAGAAATAGCCTGATATCGAGGCCTTAGAGGAAGCCGAAGGGGCAGTATGAACGTCGAAGTCACGCTTCTACAGTGTAGCGTGTGACACGAGCCCACACAGAACCGCTCGCTCAGATTCTCAAAATTATTGGAAGCCGGTTTAACCGCTAAGCCCTGAACCCATAATCTTGAAACCATCAAATCCCGAACCCTTAACACCTGATTGAAGCCTCCACCCTTAAGACTAAAGCGTCTACCCACAGGCCCCATAGTAGTTCCTGTTTGGGCCTTGTGGGATTCTAAAAAGAACCAAAACAAGGAACTACTATGGGGTAAGCCTTTAGCCCTGTCAGTTTTCATCCCTGGACCTGTGGGTGTCGGGCTGGGAAGCCTCGGGGGTGTCTTCGAAGTCCCTGTGGGCCCAAGAGGCCTGGGTGGTTACTGGGGTCTTACCGTTGGAACCGGAATTATTGTGTGGAACCTAAGTTGACGTGACAGGGATCCATAGCAAACGATTGGATCTCCTTACTGTTGTAACTTAGCTTCAAATCCCAGCTTCAGGCCTGCAGTGCCAATTCAAATGGGTCAGGTTTTGGGATCAGGGTTTTAGGATGTAGGGGCTAGGGTTTCGGGTTTAAGGTAGGTTTTCGAGTTCTACTGAGTTATTATGAAGCACCTTTGGCTTTGGCCCGGCCTAGCGATGAGAGATTACACCAACAGCTGAAACTATCCACACTAAACCTTAGCTGACTTCTGATCCCCTCCTAAAAGGTAAACTTTTGGCCTCCTTATGATAGTTCATATAGAATCCCAAAAAGTTAAAGTCCTAAGAGCCAACCAGAAGAACGCCAAGAAACCCTAACCGCTCTCGAAATCTTATTGGCACCCAAACCCTTAACAGTCTCTATAAACACTAAACCCTAAACCCCTAAACCCTGACCTCTTGCTTCCTTTCGGGTTTTCGGGGTCTCAGGATTCAATCCCCGGCGGGCCCGCAAACCCGAAAGTAAGCTCTCAAACTTGCCCCAAAGCCTAGAAGCCCAAAAACCCAAACCCCCAAAACCGTAGAGCCTAAACCCCTAAAACTCTGAAGCCACCCCCTCACCCCTGAACCCTAAACCTCTAAATCCCTAAATCATCAACCATCAACCCCTAAACCCTAAAGCCCTAAATCCCTGAACCCTCAACCCCTAAACCCCTAAACCGTCTTTAGCTCTAGAGCCGCTAAACCCGCGCTTCGGCTGTTGTCGTGGCCGGGTGGGCCTGAGGGGCCAGAAGCCGTAGGTTGGCGGGTCGACCACCAGGAGCCTCGGGGTTTTGTTGGGCTTTACCTGACCCCCCAAAGTAGGTAGAATAATGGCCTAAAACCTGTAAAAGGCTATTATTCTACGTGCTTTTGGGCTCCAGGTAAGCCTACTTGTCGGGCATCGCGGGGAACTTAAGGTTAGCCTTTTTGATTATGTAGGGGTTATATAGGGGTTATACTACCCCAAAGAGGTTAAAGGCTTCCTAGTCTACGACTAGGAAAGGCTTTCTTGGGGCTTTAGGGCTTAGGTGAGGGTTGTAGGGTTTCAAACCCTTTCGGCTTTAGGGCTTTAGGGTGTTTAGGGCTTGAGGGCTGCAGTCTTACAGATTTAAGGCGTTCAGCGTTTTGGGATCTGGTGTCTCAGGATTTTGCGGGCTTTAGGAATTTAGGGTTCTCGGGTTCTGGGTTTTAGGGTCGGGGTGAGAGCTTAAACAAATTGAGATACCTAGGGCTCGGTGATGCTCGGTGTGAAGTAAGTGCGTAATTTGAGGGCTCGGGGCCCCAACTTTATGATACCTTTTCAGACAAAGTTGCCGGACTACACTGACTTCCTAAACACCACGAAGTAGGTAAAATAATGGCCCAATACCATTAAAACGCTGTTATTCTAAATACTTTTGGGGTCCAGGTTATACGGTGTTAAGGAGCTTCACTCTTTAAGACAGTACTTTGGTAAGTTAGCTTCAGCTCATGAAAACACAGAAGAGCCCAGGAGCACGTGTAGGAGGAGCGAGGGTAGGGTAGCCAGCAGGTCAAAGGTGAATCCAGACCTTTCTCGACACGGTTGTTGGTGGTTTGGTTTTGGGGCTAACAAAAACACAGTAGAATCTTAAGCTTTGGATTTAATACCTCTATGGGGGTAGGCTCTATTGTTCTATCTTTGTGGGTCCGCAGCTCACAGGACTGCCGTTGAGATGCTGGAGGTAGCGACGTGCATTTGAGCGGGCACTGCTGTGGAGGACGTGTGTAGCATCTCGGTAGCCGGTGGTAAAGTTGATCCCCAGATCGATGACCCAAAAGACGTCCACCGCAAGCAAAGCCAGCTTCAACTCCCAGTAACCTTGATCCTGGTAGTCTTCGAAAGTGATGAAACTGGTCTGGAAGCATACGTACCTGGGAACTCAGCTGAGGTTACAGCGCGGAAAGAACAGTTTGTGTAGCAAGAGCCGAACAACCCTATATTATCCCAAAGCCCAATAAGGCTGAAAGCAAGCCCTACAGGCCCTACAGCCGGAAATGTAAACTCCCAACAAGCGCCGCGGCGCAGGAGCTGCAGCAAGAGCAAAGTGCAGGCAAAAATCTCCCAATACTGTCTCGGCCGGCCCCCCGGATCGGAGAAGGGCCAGGAATATCGAGAGAACCGGAAACTTCTATGCCTGGGAATTTGTTTACGGCTATAAGTTGTAGGGTTCTGGGGGGTTGAAGCGCTTATGATCGTAGGGTACGGGGCACAGGGTTTCTGCCTGAGCTCTTGCTTAGGGTGTAGGATTGTAGGGTTTCGGGTTTAGGCCGAGTTTTGGCAAGGCATGCATCATGTATCTGTGGGTTAAAAGAATGCGAGTACATTCGCGGATCATTGGCAACTCAAACCCAACTCCATAGCAGGAGCCCAGATGCAGGACCTGCAGCAAATCAAACTCCTGCAGCACGACTGCACGGCGACGGCCGGACCTACCCGGGATCTCCACAGAGTGAGCCGGAAGAATCCGCCTCACCTTCGCGGCTTCTTGAAAAAATGCCGTTAGCTGGGGCTTCATTTTGAGTGTCCTCTATTATATATATATATATAGTTTGAGATAACTATATATATATAATTATATATAACTGTATATTGCTATATACAACTGTATATGAATTATACACCATTAAATCAATAAATAAATAAACAAACAAATAAATATATATATATATATATATATATATATATATATAGTTATATATATATATATATATATATATATATTGCTCCGATGATGTTTTGGAACCTACGTTTCGAAACCCCTGCCTTTGTGGCTTCGGGAGTGACCTTGCCTGCTTCCTTTGGAGAGGACTTCCAAAGCAGTCGCTTGGCAAGGCTTCGGAGGAGTCGTCTCCAGGCAGGCACTGGAAGAGGCTGGTTTTGCCTGGGCGCCATAATCTTTATATCAACTTACTGCAGTTTGTAAAAAAAAGGAGAACAATAGTTATTTCACCCACATATCTCAATTGCCACACAAAACCCTCCAAAGCCCGTTTCTCCACTTTCTGTGGTAGCTTCAGAATGCCCAACCCTAAACCCTAAATCCCAAACCCGAAACCCTAAAATCCCAAACCCCTAAACCCTAAATCCTCAAATCGAAAACTCGTAAATCCCAAACCCGCAACCCTCCAACCTCTAAATCCCAAACCCTAAACCGGTTTATATAGGGACTATACTACCCAAAAAAGGTTAAAGGCTGCCTACTCTACTTCTAGAAAACCCAACACAAGCCGAAGGCGCAGGGGCTCAAAGGCCTCCGGTAGGATGGCCATACTGTGCCTTCTTGTGATCGCCTCACGTCTGAGGCGGTTTAGGGTTTAACCCTACACCCTAAACCCTAAATCGGGGTTTAGGGTTTAGGGACTTGGGGTTGAGGGTTTAGGGTTGAGAGTTTGGGGTTGGACGGTTCTTTATAGTGCTTTCATAGGTTGCTACAAACTGTTTTTCTAGGTTGCTGTTGGGTTTACAATCGCAGGTGTGGACATAAGGCCGTTAATCATAAGAGTGGGTCAAGGAAGTATACTATAGTATCTTTATCGAGGAACGGTGAGGGTATTCTATGACTAATTCTTTCGAACCAAATCTTCTGCCTGTCAAAAGGCAGAGCCGTTTCTTGAAGGGGCTTAGATGCTGCTGTAAGGATTCCTTGTTGTCGAGCTTCCCACAGATTATGTTCCCGATTTACTTTTCCAGCAAGGTTAGGGCTCTATTTTATCGCAGTTGGATGGCTGAGAAAGGTCAAGAAGCTTGCTTACTCGACTGCTAAGTTGCTGGTGCCCTGGCATCGTTTGGGCCTGGGCATATGGCAAAGCTGTCAGCGCCCTCTCCTGCCATGTCCTCAGCGATATCTCCTAAGTCTTCGTCGCTGTCCTCCTGGTCCTTCACCAAGGACTGCGAGAGAGCAGGCGTTAAAACTGGTGCTTGATAGGGAGCTGGCAGCACGGGCTCCGACTTCGTGGATTCTTGGGTGTCAGGCTCCTGGACTTTGAAGTAAGTAACCAGGGAGACAAAAGTATAGACTTTAATTTCATACTGGTTCCTTTCCTTTGAGGACCAGGTACCAAAAAAAGTATTCAAGTATGGTACTCCAAACCCAGGGCTCAGCCATCGCCCAGCGTCCGCTTGGTAGGGACCTCGCGGTTGACAGATCTAAGGATTCTCTTCTTTTTCGTCTTAGGGTTTAAGGTTTAGGGTTTAGGGCTTAGGGTTTAGGGTTTAGAAATTCTGTTCTTTTTCGTCTTGGTGGTATTAAGACTGAAAATTTCTCCCTTCGACATGTGGCTATTGTTGTTGGTACTGATACCATCAGTATTCGTATTGTTGCGGCTATTGCTCTTCTTATTTCTATGTTAGAGTTTCGGGACTTGAGGATCAGGGTTTCAGATTTCATAATTCTAGGGATGGGCTTTGGGCTGTAGAGTTTGGGACCCTAGACTCCCAAACCCTAAACCCCAGATCCCTGAACTCGTCGACCTCGGATCGTGCTCATAGCTGGAGGACGACAGGTTGTTCTCAATGCTTATGCTCGCCACCGAGGCGGTCCGGGACCTGGGTAGCCCTGGGATCTGCGGAGCAATCTGCTTGGGAATCATCGCCAAAAGAGAGGGTCGCCGAGTCCGACTTGAGATCTTTTCGGCGCTGCTGTTGCTGACAAGGCTGACATTGCTGAGCTTGCGCCGCAGCCGCGGTGTGGACGCTGCCGCGGCCGACGATCCTGTGACCCGCAGCTCCTCTCGCAATGCTGCCAGCTCCGGCGAGAGGGCCTTGCAGGGTCGAACAGCCAGGCCCTAGCCCAAACAGAAGTTCATCTTTCAAACATGCTCAAACTTTGCTAAGATGAGATGATATGATATGAATACCAACAGCTTAATACCCGCCCAGCCCTCAAGGCCTTGTGAAGCTCTTGGGGCAGAGCCTCATGCAAGGCATCCTGGGTTCGTTTGAAGGAACTCAATCAATCAAAAGATCTGCTATGTGTCCCGCAGCCCTAAACTCTGCCAACTTCGCCCTGCTTAACTAAGTGTCGATTTCAAGAATCCCCAAAAGTATGTCTGATTGGGCTCTATACTGAACAATAAGGGAAGCTAATATTATCCCAAATCGATACCTAGTTAAGTATTCGTCAGAAAGTATCCTCCGAACCGTGCCTCTGTGTCGTAACTTGGCACTAAAGCCGCCTGGAGGCCAATTCCTATATTCCCTTACTGAATGAACTTGACTACCCATATGCTTTATAGTAGTTCCTTTTTGGGGTTCATCTGTAGAATCCTATACGGTAATCCCAAAAAGGAACTACTATGGGGCCTATGGGCAATTACTCCCTTTTGCCACTGTTGCCCTTGTTGGGCTCTTCACTGAAGGCCAGGCAGCCTCCAGAGTTTCCTTCACGGCCAGTCGCAGATCAGCGGTGATCGATTTCCTAGGAATCCCCAAACATCCCAGGAATACGTCTCCCCTTTTTGGTGTTGGGTAGGGAACCTCTGACCTGAAACCACGGAAAGGGAAAGGGGCCCTAAACTTTAAACCCCAAACCCTAAATCCTAAACCCTCAACCCTAAACCCTAAGCCCTAAACCTTAGACCCTAAATGCACTGGAGACCGAGCTTCAGAGCTTCTTGGACGGCGCGGCACACGGCCAGCTCTTCTTCGGGGCCCATGGCAGGGATGTACGAAAAGGCTTTGAACCTTAAAACCCCCCAAATCTAAATTTTAGAGGCCCCACGACCTACAGCGAAGCAAGAGCTGAGACATGTTCGGCTTCGTTGCCCGTTGCGGCTTCGTCACGTCTGTCCCCGCTCCGTCCAACTTGCGTTATGCTGCAATCTCCGTTATGCTGCAATCTAGCTCGATAACCGAAGCCCTTTAAATGAAAGAACTTATAGCAGAAAACTTCAAAATTCTGGAACCGTGCAACCCAAGCCTACGCCTCCAAGAGCCGCCCTCTGAAAGCAAAGGCGCAAGTCATGCGGCAGCATTTGGGAGTTTCCGAAAAATCGGGGGTTCCTTAATTTGGGGTCCTCATAATTCGGATCCCACTATTTAGGGTACTATACTAGGATCCCCTAATTTCGGAAACTCCCATTTGGTCACAGTGCAAGGACATAGGATTTCGGATTCATTGCATGTTACGTGGGGTTAGGTCTCGGAGTTTAGGAATGGTCCAGGTTTATGGGTTCAGGGCGTCAAGACTCCGTAGACGACCAAGGTCAATTCGCAGCTGGTGCATTCGCCTTACTTGGAGGTTCGTGGGTTTATCAGTGGCGTGAAAAGTGGGGTAACTATATTTATAACCCATATTAGGGGAGTCATAACCCCTCCAAGTAGGGTGGAGGGGCAACTAGGGTGTAGGGCTTTCGGCGCAGGGGTTTCAGTCGTTCGGGCTTGGGGTTTAGGGGCTGGGCGGACTGGCAAAGGAAGGGCTCATTGGTGAGGTGATCCGAAGCGAGACCGTAGTGAGGATCAGTTCATTCCAGTAGTAGTACAACCACTTCAGTAATAATCCAGCCGCCTGTAATAACCCCAAATGAAAAAGTTCTCGTGTAGTTAATCCTAGTTATTTAATGTGTACTAGATTAAACTACACAAGACAAACAAAGAAACTTAATGGTCGAGACGGAATCTGTGGGAATCCATTGTGCGGGGTGCTTGCTCATCTCCGAGACCCTAAGCATCCTAACAGCCACAACCACGAAGCCAAAGACCCTAAAGCGTTCGGGGACTTATAACCCCACTTCTAACTACCCATGAAGCTCCAAGTACACCCAGTTTTACAAGGTCTATGCGGCTTCTCCATCCGCCAAGCTGCGGCAATCACCAGGCGTTGCTTGTGCCACCGGCCTGGCAGTGGGGCGGCGGCACCCCGGGCGAGTTGAAATGAAGGCTCCCTGCTGCCCTTCCTGACCTCGAGGAGGAGCTTCAGCGCCTCATAACCTGGGTTCTTGTTAAGGGACTTAATTTAAGTTACCATAAGATGGTTAACCTTCTTATTCACTATAGATCCCTATGATGGTAACTTAAACTAAATCCCTCAACAAGAACCCAGTAACAGTCCGCTCCTTCCCCGCCGGCGGCGTCGTCGGCCGGCGTATTTCCGTAGAAGTCTGTGTCGTTGATGTTGACACCGGCCTGCGAAGCAGAGGGGTGGCGCCGCAAGGAGCATGAGAAGGGAGGAGAACTGCGTACCCTCTTTAAAGGGCTCCTTATAGAGGGATCCTTAAAGGGTCAAATAAAGATAAATACGGGATCTAAAATATTTTAGGCCTAGGCCCTAAACCCTTCTTTTAAGGGTTAGTTAAAGGGATCCTTAAAGGGTCAAACAAGGGATCTAAAATCTTTCAGGCGTAGGCTTTGGGACCATAGCTGGAAGCAAATCCCCAGCCGGGCCTCGATCAGCACTTTTAGCGCCTCCACCTGTTTGCGCTTGAGTTTTGGGTCATTATAATGCGGAGAGCTTAGGGCTACGATAGGGTTTATAGAGTTTAGGGTACTATCTTAGGGTTAAGGGTTTAGGGCTTTTAGAGTTTAGGGTACTATCTTAGAAATAAGGGTTTAGAGTTTATAGTCGGGTTTAGGGCTTAGGGCTGCTATATTGGGGTCCTCTATTTGCGGAAACTCCCACCTTGCAATTGGAAGCGGCCGCGTGCGCCGGGGTCCGTCCATCTTGTCCAGCCGTTTGCAGATCGGCTCTAGCCTCGCTAAGGCGTGGAAACCGCGAAGGGTTCTTTAGGTTTTAAGCTTTTGGGGTTTTAAGGGGTTTAGGGCTTAGGGTTTTAATTTCAGGCTTTTAATCTCAGGGTTTTAAGGGTGTTAAGGTTTAGGTTCCTTGGCTCTTTGAGATTCTTTGCGGCGGCATCGAGAGAAAGCCTCTCCCACTCTCTCAAGAAAGTCTTTTCCAAAGCCCTTCAGCTTGAACGGACCCTGCAAAGCTCCTGCCTCTTTCAGCGCCTCCAGCGCCTCTGCCTGCCCATCTTTGGCTGCCAGGTAGGCCGGGGTTCTGGAACCAGACTGGGAAGAGTAAGTCGTCGCACTCAAGTTGGCACCGGCCTCACGGGGGACTACGGATGGAGGCGTTGGACAAGCTCCGAAAAAGGCGCCTCGTGGAGGACCTTCAGCGCCGCCGCGTGGCCGTACCGCGCGGCATAGTGAGCCGCTGTCCATCCGCTAGAGTCCAATTTCTCATTCAGGTCGGACCCAGCCTCGGCACGGCTTTGCTTGACCTCTCCTATTACATTTGTAACGACCTATTAGCGAAAGACTTCCAAACCCAGCCCGGGAGATATCGCCACTTGCTACACAAAGCTGGGCCTGACCGTGCTGCGCGAGGGCCGCCACGTCGCCAGTCTTGGCGGCCATTTCCAAAGACATGTCTGGAGGCTCGTCCTGCTCGTGGTGCTTTGGGTTCCAGACCTGATACTGAGCTACGAAGCCTTCCTGCCGGCAAGAGATGGGCGTGGCAGAAGGGAGGGCAGTGCGTGATGGTGCAGGGTACCAGAGTTCGTCGGTTTTTCAGGCTTGACTCAACTCCAACTGTGGCAGCAGACATGCGGGATTTCAGCGCCCATGGCCTTACAGATCTTTCCGACGCGCAAAATGAGGACTCCTGCGTCTTGGCAAGCTGCTCCTCCTGTTGTTCCTGCAGGGAACCCGGCGCAGCCCAAAATCAATTTGGCGAACCGCAGCTGCTGCATGCACCGAAAGAAACACAAAACACGGGTCGTGCTCCTTAGCCGTGGCCAGGTTCCCCTGAATGGACACCTGGGTAAATCGTGGCTAGGACTGAGAAATGAGGTGTGGGCTTGAGGCTCAAGTATGGGGTGCAGGGTTTACAGCCTAGGGTTGAGAAGGGATCGTGTGAGCTTCAGAACGAAACAGCTTAACTTTCCATCCTCTCCAAACAGCATTAGAAATCCCATCCCCTTCTGCCCCGGCTGCCAACATAGCAGCCACACCAGTGCCGAGAGCCCAGCCCGCGTGGCATCCACAATGGCAATCGTGGCCAGCACGACCAGCTGAGTCGCCTTACACCAGATTCTGAGTAAATCCGACGTCGCAGGCTTGGGCTAACACCTCCCATGTGGGAGGTGTTGCGAGCTCAGGCGGCAGGGCCCGTAAAACGGAGGATTGGCTGGTTGCGCCATGGGTTTGCAGGTGAATTCGTGGGTCGACTTCTGTTTGGCCGCTGGCAGCCATAGGTTTGCAGGAGGCTTCATGTGTCAATTTGTGTGATTTGGTCCTGGAGTAACCGTAGAAGCGCAGTAGAGGTTTCAACCCAAACTCCTCGCCAGTTAAGTGCCTCACCCACTGGTCGGAATGTCGAAAACATGTGAATAACGCCCGCGACAAACATGCTCGTCAAGGCTTTCCAGCGGTAGGTTCAGGGCAACGAATGGCCTCCGAAGGAGCTCTGAAAGATTCATGTCCAGCAAAGTACAGGCGAAAACTCAGCCCGCGGCCAGCATCGCGCAGCGGAAGCTTGGAGTTGACAAACCTATATGGGAGTTTCCGAAACTAGGGGACCCTCATATGGGTACCCTAAATACTAGGATCCTTATTGTAAAGACCCCAACATAAGGCACCCCCTAATGTTCGGAAACCCCCATACTACACTCTTTCAATCAGAGCCCAAAGCTGGGGAAGCAGCGGAAGCAGCGAGTCAGAGGGTTGGGGCTCCAGAGTGTACCGTCCTTTGCTTCCGAAATCCTCGGCGACGATCACAATACTATAATAACCCTATACGAGTAACTATTATTTGCAGGAATGGTGAAGGCAAGCACATCCTTCCAACAGCGGTTTGAAGGACGCATTGGCCGTCCTACCTTGTAGTCACAGAGCTCCTTATTTAATAGGGATTATCATCATCCCTGGCTCCTTAGCTCCCCCAATATCAATGCTTAGCTAAACCCGTAAACCCTAAACCCTTGGAATCCGGGGTTTCAGCCCCCTGAACATCGGCCTCTGTCTGAGGCCTTCAAGTGGAGCACATCGAATATAGGAGCCTTAAGAATTAGAATAGGGTGTTACGGCCCAGTATACTATGTTTATAGGAACCCCTCCCCCAAAATAGTGTAGGTAATTCTAGTAAGGACCGTATAGTAGGCTTTTTCGAGCCGCGGAGGAAGTCTCTGGTCTCGGCGCGAAGGCAGCGGCAGTCGCCAACGGCAGCCTCTTGTCGGAGGAAGCCGGGCAAATGAAGGGCCGTCACTGACATGCAACTTACGCGCTGTGATCTTGTGCGCCTCGGCTTGCGGCCTCAACCCTCAACCCTAGATCCTAAAGCCTATACTTCTCAAAGGCTAAGAAGGCTCTGGTCCTAACTAACTTCTCAATGAAGAACGATGAGCTGGATTTCAGTGCCAGTGCTTCGGCTTCCGAACTTCCAGGTGGAATCAAGGACTCCCAATTCAAAGAGCCCGATTTCCCAAAACTCCGGAACCCTGAGTTTAGGATTTACGTTTAGGGTTTACGGATGTTTAGGGTTTAGGGACCATGCTCCACGCCCCCATACTGCAGAATCCTAAGACGTAATGATTCTCCAACCTCAAGCCGCACAGTATAGGACTCCCGAATTTGCGAACCCCAAAGGCCTAAACCCCTGAAGAAGCAGAAGATCCCTCTTGATTGAATGCCGACCCTTCGCCCGAACAGCTGCGACGCGGGTGTAGGTCCGACCATCTCAAGCATCAGCTCTGAGCTGCTTTCGGGTGTAGGGTCTCCGGAACCCCCGAAAAAAAACGAGTGCAAGATCCTTCCTGTGACTCGGACACCGAAGCTGTCTCATGGCAGCGATGGGACCTTGGAGAAGTTTCGGACTCTCAAAACCCTCCCTCGAGGGTACAACCCTCACACTCTCTGATCCCCTCTCTTTCTTTTGTTGGGGTTTAGCGGGTGCTTTCGGGGTTTGAAGGTTCAGGATCTCCGGCTGAAATGTTCGCGTGTGGCTGAGTCCTGCACCCTATATTCAAAACCGGATTCCTGATTCTAAGCCAGTGGGAAAACAACCCTAAATTCCTTATCCTCTCTCCCAAAGCCTCTACAAACATCGCCTATGCCCTACACACAGCGCGAGGCGGGAAGTTGCTAAGCTTGTCTCCACAGCATTTCACAACTGTAAAGTACAAGGAGCTCTATCGAAGTCTTGTTGGGGTTGTACAGGCGTTTAGGTTTTCAGGCTTCCGGGCCTAGTGCCAGGGCTTTTCGGGTTTTCAAGTGGCGTTGGGGTCTTCGGATGTAGGGCTGGAAGCTTTGGATCAGTTGTGTCTCGAATTGGTGCGAATTGCTGTCGAAATGTCGTTGTGCGGAGCAGCAATAGTCATCGCCTGAACAGCTTGACAGAAAAGCGCGTAGAGGCAGACAATGAGCTAGGAAAAGGAACCGACCTAACCCAATGGACAACGCATTGACTGTGCCGGTGCTTTTACAGGACAATCTACCAAGGCTGCTGCAAGGGTTTCTACAAGAATTACTGTTTCTAGATGGGACTAATGCAAGGATGTGCAAAAGAAGCTTTGGTCTGCAGCATTTCAGCAAATGATGAAAATACAGGTCTTGATAGTTGCAAACACTGCAGTGTGGAAACCGGAAGGAATACGAATGAAAGCTAGTAGACCTCCACAATACTGTTCAATTTATTGAGCCGTCGTGCTTTCAAACACCTGTCCTTGCTGGGTCCAACAGCGTTTGTGATCTAGCTTATAGCTACTCTAAACTCTAAACACGAAACTTAATCTCGCGCAGCCTCAAACAATAAAGCCCCTCGAGGAGCAGTCGGGTTTAGGGTTCATGTCATATGGTTCAGGGTCTCGGATAGCATCCATGTCAGGTTGTGCAAGGCTTTTAAGGCAACGCAAACAGTGTCAGGGCCAGGGCAGCTCGTAAGCATGTGCTACGCAACGAGATGGTAGTGAGGGTCATAATCAACCACGCCAATAGTACTTGGAGGTTCATGGGTAGGTATAAGTGGAGTATTAGGGGACTCATAACCCCACTTAGAACTAGCCATGAACCTCCAAGTAGTGCTAATAACAATCATGAACATGATCACAACCTGGCAACAAAGCCCTGATCGAACCTTAACCTCGAATTAAACCTTAAATCCTAAACCTTAAACCCGTAACTAAACCCTATAACCCCCAAAACCCCTATAAACCCTGAACAATCGTGCATTTTGTTGAATCCCATGCGGCGCCAGGGCCCGCGCCTGGCCCTGCGCGGCTGCGAAGCGAAGGCGAGCTGCCAGGAGGAAGCTTGCCTAAACTAGGAGTACGGTTTAGGGTTTAGGGTTTCGGGGAAGAATGCGGGTTCTATTCCAAAGGTTGCTATAAAGATGTTTCGATGTGGGCATCTTACTGGATACAATAGGCCTTAGAAATCTACGGGGTATGTTATTGGCACAAGTTTAAGCCGGAGCCCTCGGGAATCGTATGTCCATGCTTTTGTTTTGTTCCCAAAAGCCACTGAGGGATTGGGTTCTTGTTTAGCTTTTCCCTCCGGCGGGGGAGCATTCATTAAAACAAAACCGTGGACCGGAAAAGCGTTTTAGCGAAGAGGACGCGTCCACGGCATCGTGTCGACGGGCTGGGGAAGTGCCGAGCGTTCGCGAGAGGACACGGCCGTGACGGATTAGATTTTGCAGTCTGTAGACAAGCTAATATCTCTGGCTCTGTGCCCTTCCAGTCTTGTGCAGGACTGAGAATTATCTTGACGATCTCGAGAATGAGCCTTCACAGATGGTTCATCTCCGGCCCCTGAAACCTAACAGGCCTAAACTTAGAACTTTTTGAAACCCGAAGCCCTAAGCACCCCAAAAGCCCTAAACTTCAGAACCCTGAACCCTCAACCCAACCGTAAAGCAGACCCTAACCACTCCGGCTTCTGCAAGCTGCCGCAATCGCCAAGGGCGGCCTCATTCTTTAACTTCGTTTGCCCCCAGCCTGGCAGGGGGCGGCGCTTGTCGTGAACTACTAGGGGGGGGGTTTAACACACATCAGGGCGCATAAATATGCATCACCCCATGTAGACGCTGATTTGAGGGAATTACACATCAGCGCCGGAATTACACATCACACCAAACTTAATCCCGAAGGTGACGCTGGATTCTGTTGGTCGTTGCCAACTTAACGAAACATAACGAAACCCTCGCGGACGCCAGTGTTCTCGGCACGGACGGCTGCCATTTTGATGCGGCATTGATGCGTTTTAGTAGCGAATCACGAAGGTGACGCTGGTTTCTGTTGTTGCACAACTACAGCTGCATCTATCATATCTTACTGTATAAAGTCACCAACCATACACCACAAGCTCGTCAAACACCATCTAGACGCAGTGAAATGGTAGAAAACCTATTCGATTCTGTATTGCCCTGGAAAACCTGTTCCATACATGCACCACCAACCCATCAAACACCATTTAAACACAGTGAAATGGTGGAAAACCTATTCGATTCTGTATTTCCCAGGAAAACCTGTTCCATACATGCACCACCAACCCATCAAACACCATCTAAACACAGTGAAATGGTAGAAAACCTATTCGATTCTGTATTTCCCTTGAAAACCTATTCAGCTCTGCAGCTCTCTGACCAAACATGCACCACCAACCCATCAAACACCCTCTAAACGCAGCGAAATGGTAGAAAACCTATTCGATTCTGTATTTCCCTGGAAAACTTGTTCCAAACATTGGGCCCCAAAGTGGACCTCAAACGGTATATAAATGTTTGGATGTATGCCAGAACGGGCCCTGAAATGCTCAATCCCAAGGTGGACGCGGAAAAGAGTAAGGTTTGTATGTATGCAAGAACGGGCTCCGAAATGCTTAGCCGCAAAGTGGACGCTGAAACAGTTGATGCTTGGATGTATGGCACGCCGGGCTCCGAAATGCGTGACCCGAAGGTGGACGCTGAAAGAAGCGATGTTTGGATTCATTCCAGGCCAAGCTCCGAAATGCTTAAGCCCAAAGTGGACGCTGAAACAAATGATGTTTGGAGGAATGCACGGCCGGGCTCCAAAATGCTTAACGGCAAGGAGGACGCTGAAACGGTTGATGTTTGGATGCATATATCAGGCCGGGCTCCGGAATGCTTATCCGCAAGGTGACGCTGAAACGGTCGATGTTTGGATGCATGCCAGGCTGGGCTCCGAAATGCCTAACCGCAAGGTGGACGCTGAAACGGTTGATGTTTTGATGTGTGCCAGAACGGGCCCTGAAATGCACAACCCCAAGGTGGACGCTGAAAAAAAGTGAAGTTTGGATGTATGCTAGGGCGGGCTCCGGCATGCTTAACCGCAAGGTGACGCTGAAACGGTTGATGTTTGGATGTATGCTAGGGCGGGCTCCGGCATGCTTAACCGCAAGGTGACGCTGAAACGGTTGATGTTTGGATGTATGCTAGGGCGGGCTCCGGCATGCCTAACCGCAAGGTGACGCTGAAACGGTTGATGTTTGGACGTATGCTAGGGCGGGCTCCGGCATGCTTAACCGCAAGGTGGCGCTGAAACGGTTGATGTTTGGATGTATGCTAGGGCGGGCTCCGGCATGCTTAACCGCAAGGTGACGCTAAAACGGTTGATGTTTGGATGTATGCCAGGCTGAGCTCCGAAATCCTTTACCGCAAGGTGGTCGCCGAAAGATGTGTATTTCCGCAACGCGATGCGAGTTAAACCCTCCCCTCGTAGAAACAGACGGTTTATAAACATGTGACAACCCTGTCCTCACGCCGCACCTCCAGGATCACCTCCAGTGCCTCGTTGTGACCCTTACTCCGTGCGAGGTCGGCCGGTCTCTCCCCGTTCGCGGTCTTGGCATTGAGGTCGACACCGGCCTAGGAAGCAGGGGCGGTGCTGCACATCCGGGTCGAGTGGGAGATCACAGGTCGAACAGCGGCCTGGATGAGGACGCGCAGCGCGTCCACGCGGCCCCAGCAAGCGGCCGAGTGGGCGGGGGTCCATCCATCAACTGCAGTCTTCTGCAAGTCGGCTCCCGCCTCACTCACTGGAAACCGCCAGAACCTCCTTTTGGCACTTTGGGAAAAAGCCTCTTCAAATCTTGTGTTTAACCCCCTGCAGCTTTATAGGATAGACTCTGCAAAGCCTTAGCCCTCGCCTTGGCAAGTGCCTCCAGTGCCTCCGCTCTCCCCTCCTGGGCTGCCATGTAGGCCGGTGTAGCATCGAAGTATCCTTCGGCCTGCAAGTTCAGGTTGGCGCCCGCCTTACAGGGGACTACGCGGAGGCGTTGGACCTGGAAGCAGAGCAGCTCAGAAAAGGCGCCTCATGGAGGAACTTCAGCGCCGCCGCATGGCCATAATACGCGGCATAGTGCGCTGCGGTAAATCCTCTGTGGTATCGGTCACCTATATTGGCATTCAGATCGGAACCAGCCTCGGCAGGGAGCTTCCCATTGCACTATGTGGAATTTCCAACACACAGCACGGCCGCACGGCCCTGCCGATAGAACTATACCACTCGCCTTCCACTGTGAAAGCCACCGGGCCTGGAGGTGCTGCGCGAGGGCCGCCACTTCGCCTCGCGCCGCAGCCTCTTTCAAAGCAACGGTGCCTCCAGCCTGGCAGGGGTCGGCGCTTGTCATGAGTTGGAAACGGATGGCTTAAACTTTAAACATGTGAAAACCCTGTCCCCACGCCGCACCTCCAGGATCAGCTTCCGTGCCTGATCATAATGCTCATGGCCTGCTACGTCGGCCGGTGTATCTCCCTTCTGGGTCTTGGCAGTGAGGTCGACACCGGCCTGAGAAAAGGGCGGCACTGAACACCCGGGTCGAGTGGGAGATCACAGGTCGAACAGCGGCCTGGATGAGGACGCGCAGCGCGTCCACGCGGCCCCAGTAAGCGGCCGCGTGGGCGGGGGTCCATCCAGAAGTCTTCGGCTTCTGCAGGTCGGCTCCCGCCTCACTCACTGGAAACCGCCAAGAACTTCTTTTTGGCACTTTCAGAGCATTTAACGGCTTATTGGAAGACTCTGCAAAGCCGCAGCCCTCGCCTTGGCCAAGAACTCCAGCGCCTCTGCTTTCCCCTTGTTGCTTGCCACGAGGGCCGGCGTTTCACCATATTCGTCTGTCGCATCCAGGTTGGCGCCTGCCTCACGTACAGGGGACTGCGGAGGCGTTGGACCTGGAAGCGGAGCAGCTCAGAGAAGGCGCCTCGTGGAGGAACTTCAGCGCCGCCGCGTGGCCGTGATACGCGGCGATGTGCGCTGCGGTCCAGCCCGTGGAGTAGCGGCGCCCCCCAATTTCGGCACTCAAATTGGAACCAGCCTCGGCAGGGAGCTCCCATACTTGGCGCTCTCACTTTGCCCCACTGCACGATGTGGAACTTCCAAACACAGCACGGCCGCACGGCCCTCCCGAAGGAATCAACACTCGCCTTCTACTGCGAGAGCAACCGGGCCTGGCGGTGCTGCGCGAGGGCCGCCACGTCGCCATTCGCGGCTGCCGTTATCAAAGAAATCATGCCCCCAGCCTGGAAGGGACTGCACTTTTCGTGAATGGAATCGGATGGTAAAAATTATGTGAAAACCCTCCTCTTCGCCGTACCTCCAGGATCAACTTCAGTGCCTTTTCATCACCCTTTGCTTTCTCGGCCGGTGTTCTTCCATCACGATCTAGGACATTGAGGTCGACACCTGCCTGAGCAGGAACGCGCTGCACAACGAGGAGGAGAGCCCGGCGGCCGTCATGCAAGGGGAGATGAAGGGTTCGAAGACTAAGAGCGCACCCCTCATCTCCCCACCTGGATTAGGACCCGCAGCTGGTCCACGTCACCGTTGCGAGCGGCCAAGTGGGCCGGTGTCGTTCCTTCTTTCGACTTCTGCAGGTCGGCTCCCGCCTCGCTCACTCAGGGGAAGCCGCCAAGAACCCCCTCTTTGCACTTTCAGAGAATTTCACGACCATATAGCGAAAAAGCCTCTCCCACCCGATTCCCGGCGAGTGTTGTCCTAACCCCTTGTGCTGATAGGAAAAACTCTGCAAAGCCGCAACCCCGGCCTTGGCCAGTGCTTCCAGCGCCTCCACTTTCCCCTCCCGGACTGCTTCGTAGGCCGGCGTGCAGCCCTCCGCGTTTGTCGCATTCAAATCTGCTCCTGCCTCACAGGGGACTACGGAGGCGTTGGACCTGGAAGCAAAGCAGCTCAGAAAAGGCGCCTCGTGGAGGAACTTCAGCGCCGCCGCGTGGCCGTAATGCGCGGCATAGTGCGCTGCGGTGCATCCCTTGCAGTAGCCGTCACCTATTTTGGCATTCAAATCGGAACCAGCCTCGGCAGGGAGCTCCCGTGCTTGGCGCTCTCACTCTGCTCCACGGCACGATGTGAAACTTCCAAACACAGCACGGCCGAACGGCCCTCTCGAAAAAATCACCACTCGCCTTCTACTGCGAGAGCAACCGGGCCTGGCGGTGCTGCGCGAGGGCCGCCACGTCGCCTCGCCTGGCAGCCTCTTTCAAAGAAATGGCCGGAGGCTGCGCCCTCGTCGTGGTGGTGATGGATGTGGTGGTCGTAGTAGGCGGCACGCTCGTCTCCGCGATGGGTTTCTCAGTCGCTTCCGCATCCTCGTCCTGTTGATGGTGCTTTTGGTTCCAGACCCGGTTCTGACCTAAGAAGGCTTTGTGCCGGCAGCGGGAGATGAGTGAGCGTTTTCGGCCAAAGACATGATGTAGATGCGTGTTGGATCTAATTATTCATTCAGAGGACGTTAGTTCCACCACACAGGGCGGTCGGAACTATGATTTTGGCGCTCCCTCATGAAGTCTCCCAAGCCTTCATGCCGACTGTGGGAAATGGGTGAAGGCTTCCAGCAAAAGAAGCCACGAACAGTTCGGCAGAAGGCGGCAGCTTGGATTGATGTCGCTTGCTGGATCTACCCTTCTTATAGTAAAGAATCCCGAAAAAGTCTTGTGCCGGAAGCGGGAGATGAGTGAGGGCTTTCGGCCAAAGACATGTAGGTGCTTGTTGGAGCTAACGGATCGTTAAATGTCGTGCGTTTTCGTGCATTTCTGCGGATTCGGACTTGTCTTGGGGAGGTGGGGCGGAAAAAAAAGGGAAGGGGTGGTCCAAAGTTGATCCGATGCAGTTTTCGCGACAACATTCACCAATCCTCCTCAATCAATACGAATTCCCAGTGTTCTCATCCTGATTCCAATCTATCCTATCTTCTGCTCAACACCGGTGAATCTCACAAAACTGACGAAGTTGCGAAGTTGAGCCGATGCAGTTCCCTGCGATAGGCACATCTCGCGAAGATGATCCGGTGCAGTTGTCGCGACAAACATTCACCAATCCTCCTCAACCAATACGAACTCCCAATGCTTTCATTCTGATTCCAATCTATCCTATCTTCTGCTCAACTCAGATGAATCTCTCAAATCTGACGAAGTTCATCCGATGCATTTCCTGCGATAGGCACATCTCGCGAAGATGATCCGGTGCAGTTGTCGCGACAAACATTCACCAATCCTCCTCAATCAATACGAATTCCCAATGTTTTCATCCTGATTCCAATCTATCCTATCTTCTGCTCAACTCCGATGAATCTCACAAATCTGACGAAGTTCATCCGATGCGTTTTCCTGCGATAGGCACATCTCGCGAAGATGATCCGATGAAGCTGTCGCGAAGATATTCACAAATCCGCGGCAACTCCCAATGTTTTGATCATGCGAGGAATATGTCTTTTTCATTGATCTCTCTTTGCTGCCGCATTCGCGGTTGAAAAATTCATTGCTTACTCATCTTCGAAACCACGTAGAAGAAAAAACGCAAACTTTGGGGTAAACTGCAAAATCGCCTTTTTGAGTGTTGACATCACGAAAACCTCGTTGTGCGCGGTGTTTTCGGCCTTTCAACCACGCGAAAGACGACCCACAACAATGTAAGACGCCGAATCTCGCAAAGTGCCACGCCTGCCATGGTTTCCAAAAAACTAGCTCTGAAAACAGCATCTTTTTGGGCGTCGTTTTCAGTCTTAAAATGCGCTCCCGCTGTGGCGAAACGCGTATTTGCACAAAAAACGTGCGACGGATTCCGACACGTGCGGTTGTTGGAGCCACTCTTTCAGGGGACGTTAGCTCCACCACAGAGGCTGTCGAAATATGATCTTGGGCCCACAGCGACCCCATCACGCATTTTGCAGGTCTTCGGAAGGCCTGTTGGGGTCTAGTGAGTCTAGTGGTAGAAACAGCGTGAAAGGGTTTCCCCCTACATTTCCAGGCGGCGAGCCGTCACGGAACTGCCAAAACCAGAACGGATTCGTTGAGCGGTCTTCACATGTTTCAAAGTCAGAGACCATGAGATGCCTGCTCGTGTCCGACACGTTCGGCTTCTCCCTCATCCAGGATTGGCGATTCTTTGCTTCGTTTTCCCCCAGCCTGGCAGGGGCGGCACTTGTCGTGAACTAGAAACGGACGGTTTATAAACATGTGAAAACCCTGTCCCCACGCCGCACCTCCAGCATCAGCTTCCGTGCCTCATCATGATGCTCATGGCCTGCTACGTCGGCCGGTGTATCTCCCTTCTCGTTCTTGGCATTGAGGTCGACACCGGCCTAAGAAGCAGGGGCGGTGCTGCACATCCGGAACGAGTGGGAGATCAGAGGTCGCGCGACGCGGCCTGGATGAGGACGCGCAGCGCGTCCACCTGGCCGTTGCCAGCGGCCACGTGGGCAGGGGTCCATCCACCAACTGTAGTCTTCTGCAAGTCGGCTCCCGCCTCGCACACTCAGTGGAAACCGACAAGAGCCAGCTTTCGGAAGCCTCTTCGAGTCCTGTGTTTAACCCCTTCAGCTGTGTTGGATAAAACCCTTAGACAGACTCTCCAAAGCCTTAGCCCTGGCCTTGGCCAGTGCCTCCAGCGCCTCTGCTCTATTAAACATGGCTGCCAAGTAGGCCGGCGTTTCACCATATTCGTCTGTCACATCCAGGTTGGCGCCCGCCTCTCAGGGGAAAGCTTCAGCGGCTTACGGCTTCTTCGGCGCTCGAGACCTCCACAAGGCGCCTGGATGAGGACCCGCAGCGCGTCCACGCGGCCGTCGGAAGCGGCAGCGTGCGCAGGGGTCCGTCCATGATTGTCGGGCGTCTCTAGGTCGGCCCCAGCCTCAGAGTGGTTTGACGACGTTGGGGAAAAGCCTCTCCGAGTCTCGTCCATGATTTGAAGGGGATGGGTCCTCTTATAGAAAGACTCTGCAAAGCTGCAGCCCCGGCCTTGGCCAGTGCCTCCAGCGCCTCTGCCTTCCCCTCCCGGGCTGAAAAGAAGGCCGGCGTGTTTGCATAGATGGTTGTCGCGCTCAGGTTGGCGCCCGCCTCACAGGGAAAAGTCGGAGGCGGCTTACGGCTTCTACGGCGCCTTAAACTCCAAAATGCGCCTGGTGGAGGAACTTCAGCGCCGCCGCGTGGCCGTTATACGCGGCAAAGTGCGCCGCGGTCCATCCCAATTTATATCCGTCATAGTCCAGTTCGGCATTCAAATCGGAACCAGCCTCGGCAGGGAGCTCTCACACTCTCCCGAAAGAATCACCACTCGCCCTTCTACTGCGAGAGCAACCGGGCCTGGAGGTGCTGCGCGAGGGCCGCCACGTCACCTCGCTTGGCAGCCTCTTTCAAAGAAATGGCCGGAGGCCGCCCCCTCGTGGTGGTGATGGATGTGGTGGTCGTTGTAGGCGGCACGCTCGTCTCCACGATGGGTTTCTCAGTCGCTTCCGCATCCTCGTCCTGTTGATGGTGCTTTTGGTTCCAGACCCGGTTCTGACCTAAGAAGGCTTTGTGCCGGCAGCGGAAGATGAGTGCGCGTTTTCGGCCAAAGACATGATGTAGATGCGTGTTGGATTTAATTACTCATTCAGAGGACGTTAGTTCCACCACACAGGGCGGTCGGAACTATGATCTTGGTGCTCCCTCACGAAGTCTCCCAAGCCTTCATGCCGGCTGTGGGAAATGGGTGAGGGCTTCCAGCAAAAGAAGCCACGAACAGTTCGGCAGAAGGCGGCAACTTGGATTGCTGTCGCCTGCTGGATCTACTCTTGCAGGGGACCTCAGCTTCACCACGTCGGTCGGGTTCTGATCTTGGGCCCACAACGAGCGCATCGCATGTTTTGCACTTTCACTGTTAGCGGCTGTTTTTGGAATTTTGCTGGGCACCCATTTTCCCCACGATGATCTCCGGCATTGGGATTGACAGTTCTTTGCGTGCGTGCGTTTCCGATGCTTTGGGTGTACCTTCTAGCTTGTTCGGAACTTCATCCACTGGACTCCATCAAACAGAACAACATAGGAGCCTGCATAATTAGAACACGGCGTGAGGGTATGTTCTAGTGCACTTATACTAAGGAACCCTGGAATAGGATTGGTATGTATTGGTAGTTGTTGATTTCCTGCTGTTCTTGTTTGTGATTATATTATGGGGAATAACGTAAACGAGCCTCCGGGTTAGCTGGGAGCCCAAGCGTCATGAACGGCCGTGTGGCATGCTGCTTTGCCGGACATGCTTCTGGCACGTTGCCGATTCGTGCTGATGTGCGCTCTTTGGTCGGATGCTCATGATACGTGAAAGGTTCAAAATTCGTCTGTTGGGGTGAGACCACTGAGACTTGGGGGAGTCGGTGGGGCACAAGCTGTTCGAAGCGAGCTTCGGAACACTCCCACCTGCCTCCAGCAACATCTGGAAGAGCTTTCTCGTTTGGGCGAGCTGCTCCGCCGTCTTGGCGAGCTGCTCCTCCTGCTGCGCCTGCAGAAAAAAATCCGCAAAGTTTTCGGCGGCGGCCCTCCTCTGAGCCTTATATCGTCTCTCTAGACGTTTGGCACCCATCCAGTCCCGCTGTTAAGCAACTAGCTCGAAAAAAGCTGCATGTGGCGCCTACTGTCGTATCTGATGCAGTGGGAAGACGTTACTTGTACCAGACTTGCATAAACCCCTCGGGCCTGGAGCGAAGCCATGGAAGACAAGGACTTTTCAATCTCGGCGAGTCGAGCCTTCCGCCGGGCCTGGTCAAGCTCTAGCTCTGGCTCTACAGTTCAGACACAACGCGAAGCCCTTGAATGCTCAGTGCCGCGGCCGTGGCCGAATTCCCCGGCGTATAAACCTGGGAGCACGTAAGGCTCGGGGAATGAAGTTCGGAAGGGTCGGAAAACGGGGGCAGGTGTTCAAGACCGGTTTGAGGACTGCAGTGAGCTTCGGCCGAAAGCCCAGATTCCCGGGCTAAATCCCAGACACCTCGAGCCCCTGCAGCTTTATGCAACGCTAGCGGTGAGTGGTGACCCCAAGGGCTCCTTACAAATTCAACCCTAAATCCCAGATCCTACCAGTTAAGCCCCGTCAGCGCCAGACAAGGGTACCCGTGTCCGAAGCACTTGAAGCCCAGTGCCGAGAACCCAGCTCGGCTGCCATCCGCAAAGGCCAGTGCGGCCAGCAAAATCAGTCCGGCCACCTTGGGTTTAGGGCTTATACATTGTCAGATTTTGTCGCGTTGCGCGTTTGCGGCCCAATACGATCGTTAGCTTCGTCATTCGAATACAGGAGCCGTGTGTCGTTTTGTGCACGCGGATGGTTGGAGCCTCCACAGAACAGGTCCAAAAGCCGGAGAGAGAAGTCCGAGCACACCTAAATCCTAAGCTGCAAGGATGTCGTTCTAGACGTACTTTCATTTTAATCCATCCATTCCCCCGCCGCCCAGATCCTTCAGGGAAGATCACCCGTTAGCCGCTAACCGGATCTCAGCCCGCGGCATGCATTGCGCAGGTAAGGCTTGGAGTCGACAGACAAAGTTGATATAACACAATTCGAGCCCAGAGCTGTGCAGGAGCATGGCTACACGGCGGTTCGATGTTCTTGACCCAGTTGAGACTAACTCCAACGCGATTTGCTTTCCGAGCTCGTCCCACACATTCCCGAAAGGCCTAACTTGTTGTGCCAGAAGCCCTGCTACTTGGAGGCTCATGGGTAATTAAAAGTGGGGTAACTGTAATTATAACCCATATTAGGGGACTCATAGTCATAACCCCACTAATAGCTACCCATGAACCTTGAAGTATGCCTGCTTAAGGCGAGGCATCACTGGGCAATGGACATGGAAGCAAACTTCCTGGATGCTTGAAGGACATAGTTGTCAAGTCGTAAGTTGTGCCATCAGAGCAAAACTGAGGCGGGTTGGATTTCAGATTAGCGCTTGCGCCACATAGCCGAAATCAAGACAACTCAGAATAGGATTGCCACCAGCACGCCGGAACCTTAAAACGCCCCAAACCAACAAAACCTCAAAACCCTGAAAACCCTGCGATTCCGGGTTTTGGCCTGGAGCTTTCAAGTCGCGCAAATCGAGCTGCTTTCGAGCCTCCTACTACGGACGCCAGCGGCAGCCTGGTCCGAGGGAGGGCGGAGGGGCCGAACTGACAAGCAACAACGGAACGGAGAACAGCACAGGTGCTGTGATCCTGTGCACCTCAATATGAGGGCTTCAAGATCGACGAGTGGCACCCTTAGGATTGAGGTTCAGGGTTACCTTGCAAGTCGCTCTCTCTCTCTCTCTCTCTGTATCTCTCTCTCTCCCTGTGTGTGTGTGTGTCTTCGAGCCCGAGCCCATTCCCATGACAACCCGCATCCACGTCCTTAAGCCCGAACCCTAAACCCTAAAGCACAAGCATCCATGAGCACCGGAAAAACTCGCAAAAACCCTGCAATTAAGGAACATTCCTATGGCATAATGGGAAGCCTGTGTAACAAGACTTCTAAAACACTCGAACTTGAACCGCCCGATCGCCATAGCGGAAAGCCTCCATGTGAAGGGGTGAGCGGTTTAGGGTTGAGGGTCAAAAGTTTGTCGAAGCACCTGACCCGCACCAAAACCTTCAATTTTCTGAGGTTCGGGTTGAGTATTCTAAGATTGTATTTTGGGGTGTATAGGACTTACGGACAGGTCTTGCAGGGGGACTATGCAGCAAGCCACCAAAAACACTTGGGTAATCCTTTTCTGAGTTCTTGCAAAAATCGAAGCGAGGGAGGAGCACAGAGATGAGCGCCACGGATTCACGGATGGTGTTCAGGAAAGTTCGAATCGACTTAGCCCTGCGGCTTGAGGCTTTGGTTTGAGGCCGTCCCTAAGATCGACCTCCCTGGGCTTTTTCGAGCCGGGGAGGAATCTTCGGGTCTCTGCGCTTGCAGCGGCTGCGCCAGCGGCAGCCTCTTGTTCGGGAGGGGCAGAAGAAGGCCTAAACCCACAACCCTAGCTCCTAAACTATCCCTTTCGTATAAATCCGAAATCCGAAACTTTTTGATCTGTTGAGTTCAGAAGCATGGGGTTTCAAAACGAATGGCGAGCTCGGCTCGGAGATTCAGTGATTTGGGCAGTGCAGTGCTCTTCTGAATTTAAAGGTTGTAGAGAGCCCCTGAAGACAGAGAGTGCAAAATCCATCCTGCGACTCGGATGCCGAAGCTTCCTCCACACGGCTGCGATGCGACCTCGGAGAAGTCTCGGAAACGACTCAACCAAAAAGCTCAGAGTCTCCGATCTCCACTGGTTCCTTTTTTAAAGGGTGGGGCGCTTTTGGGGTTTAGGGCTTGAAGGGTTCAGGGTTATGGCCTGAAAGGAACTTGAAGGTTCGCTTTGGGCTGGGTCTTACTAACACTAAATTCAATAAATCGATTCCCGAAGCAAACTCCGAATGCCCATCGCCTAAGGCCTACATGTAGCCCGATGCGGGAAGTTGCTAAGCCTGTCTTTTGGAGCTGAGAAGATTGACAAAAAGTTCATACAGGCAGACAATGACGGTATTAGGGGTACTAAGAGGGGAACTAGGGTTACCAGAAGGGGTATTAGGGCTACAAAACAGAGCAAGGAACAGGAACCGGTCTAACCTTCTGGTGGTCAATGGACAAAACATAAACTGTGCTGGTGATTCTACAGGCTTCTCTACAAAGGCTGCTGTATGGGTTTCCACAAGGACTACTGTTTCTAGATGGGACTAGTGCAGGGATGTGCAAAAGAAGCCTCGATCTGCAGCATTTCAACTGATGAACATACAGGCCTAGATAGTTGTAATAGGTTTGGGGATACATTTTGGCAGTTGTAGTGTAAGAAAACCTAAAGCAATAACCATGAAGGCTAGTAGACCTCCATAGCACTGTTCAGTTTCTTGACCATCGCGCTTTCAAACGCCTGTCCTTGCTGGGTCCAACATGATCTAGCTTATAGATACTTTAATTACAAAACTCAATTTCCTGCGACCCCAAGCAACTTCCACGACATAAGCTCCCACAAAGACCACCCCCTCGAGGTGCCGGCCTCTATAAGCAACGTTATGAATCTTAGATATTTCTAGAACCTATTGTATCTAGTAAGAACCCGTATGGGCCTCATTCTTCCCGTAAGCTGTACCCCGAGTTTAGGCCCTTGTGGTACCCTTAGGAACCCTTATGGTACCGCTTCAGGAACCCTTATGGTACCCTTTAAGGAACCCTTGTTGTGCCCTTGTACCCCTCGTTTAGGCAAGCTTCCTCCTGGCAGCTTGCCTTGGCAGCCGCCCGAGGTAAGGCGCAGGCCCTGGCAAATGCAGGATCGTTCAGGGTTTAGGGGTTTGAGGTGTTTAAAGATTATTTAGGGCCTAAGGTTTAGGGTTTAAGATTGAATTCGAGTTTAGTGTACGATGGGTGCTTTGTTGCCGGGCTGTGATCATGCTCGTGATTGTCATCAGCACTACTGTTGGGGGTGGTTGACTATGCTCACTGCCATCTCGCTGCGCAGCACATGCGTACCTACGAGCTGCCTTGGCCTTGACAGTGTTTGCGCTGCCTTTAAAGCATTGCGCAGCTTGACATGGATGCAAAAGAGCACAAGTTTAATCAGGAGCCCTCAGGAATCGTATGTTTCAGGTTTTGCTTTGTTTTTTAGCGATCTTGTTTGAGAAGCTTTTCGGGCTTCAACCTGCTTCTATTGAGGCCTTTGCAGGACCTCCTGATGATATCCCCTAAACAGTAAAATGGGGCCTCTGGGTGTGGTCTTCCGGCTCTTTAGGGCTTTGAGGCTTGATTGGGGAGTTTCCGAAAATTAGGTGTACCTTATTCGGGATCCTACGATTTAGGGTACTATATTTGGGTCCCCTATTCTCCCCTTTATGGGGGCTTCTCCTCTTCTCACTCAAGTTCAAGCCTTCGGCAGCTGGTCTGAGACGTACTCAGATCAGCTGGTGCCGGAAAGTTGGACCCTGAAGGATCAATATAAGGGCCGGGCCTTAATAATTATAATAGGGTTGTGGGGACCATTATAAGTTTAGGGGTTAGGGCTTAAGGGTTCAGGGTTTAGGCTTCAGGATTATGGACCTTGCTCACACCCTGGGGCTCTTCGATTCCAGATGGTTCTCGTCTCCGCAATTCCTTCCGAAATTCTGTAGTCTCGTTTCCAGCCCTTACAAGATCACTAGCGGAGTCTTACCCTGACTGACAAATGGATTAGATTTTGCAGTCTGTAGACGGGCCTTACTTAATGAATCGAACCGGGGTTGTGGGCTCCTTCAGGGTATGATGTATAATCAGGTACCCTAAGGAATAACATTAGTAATTACTTAGGCTTCTCTGCGAAACCACACTGTGCACAAATTCTACGGCTATAGTGTCCGAAAAGGTGATCTTGCAAACCCTGACTTCCAGAGCATGCATGCAAACCCCACAGATGGTCGGAATATCAAAAGAACATGCCCAAAATCCGACGAGAGAAATCCGAGAACACCAAAATCATATCATGTCGTGCCGGACGCTTCCAGCCCACATCAAGGGCTTCAGAAGCTACTCCCAATGTCCAGGGAAGATCAACCCCCAACCCGAATCTCAGCCCGCGGCATGCATTGTGCAGGTAAGGATTGGAGTTGACAAAGTTGCAAGGAGAGACTTCGAGCCCAAAGCTGTCGGGAGCTCAACGGGATCATCTTGCCGAGATTTGTTTCAATGCAAAAAACGCTACAGCTTCGCATCCCTTTCCGAGACTTCTGGGGGCAGTAATGGACATGGGAGCACGCGTGAGCACACACACTTCCTGGATCCGTGAAGGACACAACTATATCGTAAGTTGTGGCAAATTAGGCCTTGCGGGCACAGAGACGAAAATCACAACAAATCAAACCAGGCTTGCCACCTGCACGCCGGAACCTTAAAACCCTAAACCAACAAAACCCCAAAACCCTGAACCCTAAACACCCCGCGCGATTTTGGCTTTTGACCTGAGGCTTTCAAGTCGCGCAAACCCAGGCTTTTCGAGCCTCCGGCGGATGCCAGCGGCAGCAGCCTGGTCGGAGGGCGGAAACTAGAGACAACAACGAGAAACAGACCATGTGCTGTGATCCTGTGCACCTCAACATGGGGGCTTCAAGATTGACGACGGAGTGTGTGTTGCACCCTAGGGGCTAGAGTTCAGGACTTGGAGCAATCGACCTCTTGTCGTGCCCTTCTTGTTTCTCTCGCTCCATCCTTCTTTCTCTCGCCCGCTCCCTCCCCCGAAATCCTAAAACTTAGCCCCCTACCTGTATGAGCCTATGAACTCCAAGTCACTCTCCCTCTCTCTCTCTCTACCTCTCTGTCTCTGGCAGGACTCCTTTGAGCCCCAAGCCCCAAGTCCACGTCAACCGGTATCCATCTCCTAAAGCCCAAATGCTGAGCTCTAAACCCTACGCCACATCATGCAACCCTAAACTCTAACCCTGGCCCTAAGGCTCCTAAAACTTAAACCCTCAACTCCAAACCCTACTTAAACCACAAGCATCCATGAACACCAAACCGACTCCCCAAACCCCTTAAATTCAGGAACATCGGTTTGCCATATTAATAGGAAGCCGTCGCAAGCCTGTGTAATTTCGGTGCGCATCGGTGCCTCTAATGCAGGAGATAGGAACCTTCGCAGATTCTGGATACGGCTTCGTGGTATACTAAACCACAAAATAATTACATATGGAAACAGGAACCTTAATATTCAAAATAATTGTAAAATCTTGTGTAGGGTCCGAACTGGACCGTAAGCCCCATCCGATCCTGAAGACCCCAAAACCCTTTCCCCAAAAAGACCCCTACCCCTCCTGATCTAAATCATGATACCTTTCAAGTTGTACTCCTTAATTAAGGGCTGCAGCGTTCATGCCCCCAATGCCACCTTGCGAGCTTCCGACTCTGTAAAAAGGCGCAGGCTTGGACCTAACGCCAACAAACGGCCTCATCGGCCTCGCAACCCGAACGCGAAGCATGCATAGTCTTCCCCGGGAAGCTTTAAAGATACAACTCGCAACAACGAAGCCTTTATTACATATGCACGTCACCACCCTAAAGCCTCCATCCTAAACCCAGCACCCTAAACCTCTCGAGGACTCAACCTCCAACACCACAACAACAAACTTTGACATAGGCTCTTCGACATGAGAATCAGTTCCTTTGAGCAAATGGTTCTGTAAACGGCTGCTAGGAGGATTGTCTCAGTGTTCTCGTGTTCTAGTATAGGGTATCGCGGGACATGCATATATATCTATATATATATACATATACATACTGTATACTACTATATGTTGACTGGTATCGTTAATAATGGTGTGACTATTATTGTAGCAATAATCTATAACAGTACTCATAGTAGCACACATGATGTCTCTATATATCCACTCAGCATGCGCCCGGCCTCAAAGCTTATTGCGTTTGCCCCCGGCCTCACAGGGGTTACGGGTTGAGGTTTCAGGTTTAAGGTTTAGAGGTCTAGGGTTTTAGGGTTCAGGGTCACGGGTTCAGTGTTTTGAAATGAAAGTTACACAACAAACTTTTGAACCATAAAGTCGCTTTGAAGCTTTGAGGTTCAGGGAGTTTAGGGGTTCCCTCCCTGACCTGGAGGATCATCTTCAGCACCTCTTGATGCTTCCGCTCAGCAGCGACGTCGGCCGGCGTGTATCCGAAGTTTTCCTTGGTGTTGAGGTCGACACCGGCCTGAGCAGAGCGGCCTTTTCCCCCCCCACCCCACCCCGAACACACCAGCCATCAAAACTCGGGTCATGAGCGGCCTTGATGAGGACACGCAGCGAGGCCACGTCGGCGTATCTTGCGGCATAGTGGGCCGGAGTCCATCCATCTACGTTCGTCGTCTCTAGGTCGGCTCCAGCCTCGCTCAGCGTGGAGGGGAAAAGCCCCTCTTCTTCGGCTTCTCCCAACCCCTCAAAAGAAAAGGGACCCTCCAAAACAGCCCCCTCAGCCTCGGCCAGAGCTTCCAGCGACCGTGCTTTGCCCGTAATAACTGCCAGGGCGGCCGGCGCGACACCATCGCTGTTTTTCACGCTCAGGTTGGCACCCGCCTCACAGGAAAAATCTACGGACTACGGCACCTGAAACTCCAAAAGGCGCCAGTTGCTCAGCTTTCTCTAAGACATCACGTGCTATTCAACCCTTTCCTAAGTTGAAAAGGTTCGTCTCGTTTGTCAGGGACCCATCACCAGTTTGATGCACAGTTCTGGAACCCGGGGGTGGAATCCAATGAAAGAGAACGCAAAGCATTGCAAGGTGCATACATGAGCATGGTATGACCCTGTGTGCAGCCTTCGTTTGGGTTGACGTCGCGAAAGCTGACAGACGAAGAAGTATGTTGTTTGCTTGGCGTGTTACAGCCGCAGCTTGCATTGTGCATCATCCGACTTCGTCATCCGTGCAGCATTGCCCCTTGGGTTGACCTTTACACAGCGTGCATGCTTTTGGAGGAAGGTCGATGGCTTGATGCATTACGTCAAGATTGGCACCGTCTTTGCTCTGTTGCCATCGTGCCGGTCGAATCTTTTAGCGGGGATTCTGGACACTTGTTGCAAGCATGGTTTGCAGAAGTGAGGCGATCGCAAGCTGCAGTTAGGAAGGCCATTCGGCAGTCAAAGCTTGGAATCACATGAAGAGGAAGGCCGTCAGCGTAGCATCTTTGCAAAGGCTTCATGCCCAGACTGTGGCTTCAAATGTAAGGGGCATGCTGCTTTGGGCTCTCATCGTCGCAGGCATGGCAAGGACACTCCTTGCTGTACAAGTTGGGGAACATAAGCTCGTGCCCGGCTCGTGAGTTCTGGGACCCACAGCGCTTGAACATGCACTTGACAAAGCATCCTGCGTGTAAGGCCGTTTTCCAGCAAGCGGACATTGATCTTGGTAGGTGCCATGTCCGTGAGCTCCCGGACCACTGCTGCACGAAAACCAGCTACGAAGTTGATCGGGCCTACCCTGTGGTGTTCCACTCGTAGGCCCCATGATGACGAAGCATCGCCTGATGTCCAACAGCAGTCACCCGAGTCGTTGAGGCAAGTGTGGCACGCCCTTTGTAGGTCTAAGCCGGATTCCCTCACCTCGCAGTGGTTAGCGAAAGCTTGGCAGACACTTTGGAACTTCTTGCAGCAATCTGCACCGAACCTTGATGTTTCGGCAGAGCGGGCACGGACTCGTCAAGGTTTTTGGATGGTTGGTCAAGGTGAGCAGTATTTTTGTGTATCCGAAGACTATGCCCCGCCCTCTTGTACATGCTTTCATGCAGTCTTGAGTTTCTTTGCATGTCGAATTTAACTAGCACCAACTGGCCTAGCGAACGTGGAAGAAGAAAAGGCGCCTGGTGGAGGAACTTCAGCGCCGCCACGCGGCCGTACTGAGTGGCATAGTGCGCCGCGGTCCATCCCGCGTAGAATCCGTCCCTTGCCAATTTTGCATTCAAGTCGGTCCCGGCCTCGGCAGGGAGCTTCGCCTACCACATCTACAGAAATTCCGCGTATCAGCGAAGGACTTGTTGTGTGCCCCTCGCAGCCCCTTCACAGCCAATCCGATCCCGATTGCCTGCTGCGAGAGCAACCTCAAAAGCTGGGCCTGGAGGTGCTGCGCGAGGGCCGCCACGTCGCCATTTCTGGCAGCATCTTTCAAGGAGATGGCCGGAGGCTGCGCCCTCGTCGTGGTGGTGGTGATGGACGCCTCCTCGTCCTGTTCATGGTGCTTTTGGTTCCAAACATGGTTCTGACCTAAGAAGGCTTTGTGCCGGCATCTCCCGCTGAGTGAGGGCTGATGTAGATGCGTGTTGGATCTGCACAGCCAGCCCATTCCGATCTGCTTCTTGATGTAATGCTCAAAAATTCGTCGGTATTTCGGGGCCTGAGTCAGTTCCAACCTGGCCCCGTGAGACTATGCGGGAGCCCCTGGCGACCTTACAGAACTCTTGCATGCACACACTCAGACCACTCCACTTGCCTGCGGCAAGGTCTTCAAGAACTCCGTCGTTTTCGCAAGCTGATCCTCCTGCGGCTCCGGCAAAGATCCCGCCAAGCACTGCTTTGTCACGGCTTCGTGCTTGAGCTGCTTGCTATGGACTCTGTAGACCTGCACACGTCCAGCCCCAAGCTGGCCATACTCCATCTTCTCCCCGATGATGACACAGAAGAATCTGGTAATGTACTCACTGCAACTGGACTTGCCCTCGGACCTGCAGCGGCAGCGAGGCCAGAAACTCCAGGATCCGTTCGTTCTGCCGAGCCTGGTCAGGCACCACGAAGCCCGCGAGTCTCGAGCGCGGCTGTGAGTGCCCGGCCTGGTTTCGTTTCAGATACTCCTCGAGGATCTGCGACACCGGATGCTCCTGGCACCAGCAGGATTCGCCCTTTCACAGATTCTGATAGCATGCTTACCAAGAGAAAGAGAGAGAGAGAGAGAGAGAGAGAGTGAGAGTGAGAGTGAGAGTGAGAGTGAGAGTGAGAGTGAGAAATTCAACAGTACAATTCAGTCCCAGCGGGACACCCAAGATCAATCACTTTCCCCAGTCACACAGATGCAGACACTCCTTTGTGCAGTGCCTTGATCCAGTCTTGAGCCAATGCCATTCGGCATCGTAGCATTCTCTAATGCATCAGGAACATTCGGGTGCACATTGGGCTCGTGTGATTTAACACAGTCCCTTGATCTTGACTTCATTCGAAGATCATTCCAAAACAAAAAAATGAGCATTGGTGGTGGCATTCGCGAAGCGATCAAAAGAAACAGTTAGAACAGTCACCAATCAAAGCAGCGAAGGATCGTTGGTCTCATTCCGGACTTTTGGCTCGACTCGGGATGACATTGAACGGCATTCGGAGGCCGGCTTGCGCCGTACAAGTGATCATTGCAGACAGTCGGCTCATGCTACATTCGGCTGAATCCGCTAGGATACCCAGTAACCTAAGAATAAAAAGGCCTCTCTTTTTGGTATTGGGTATCTTTATAAGGAACCTAGGACTACAAAAAGGGAATAAGGGTACTACTGGGCATCCTAGTCCGAGAACTTCATTCTCAGCTAACCACTGAAGAAATCCATTCAACATTTCAGGGGGAACTTCACATTGCAAAACGATCGCAGTCACATTGGCACTCCTAAATTATGCGGCTGCTCAGTGCGTTCACTTCACAGTGCCCTTCGCATTCTTGCGGAAGACAATCTCGGAGCCGGGCTCGAGGGCATTCGCAGTCTGAGCCAGGGCGACTCGGAGGCATGATCATTCTTGGTCTTGGGAGCATTCCAGGCAGTGCTGTCCTGCACTTCTTCATCATTCCCATAGAGCTCCTCCCAAGTGGAACAGTCGTGTTCCAGTACGGCATTCACATATTGCGTCAATGGAATCATCGTGTGACCCATCAATCGCCATTCCACAAGGTTGTGTCCTCGGCGCGTAGCGAACATTCCCCACTCAATGATCTCATTCAGCGACAGAAGCAGCATGGGGCTGCGCACGCACATTGGATCAGTCAGTGGGACACGGACAATCCCAGCACTCATGTGGGACAGTCGCTCCATTGTCCACTTGCAGTCGTCAGGACCACTTCCATCCCATTCAAAGGTGCTGATGTGGTCAGTGAGTTGGCGCGTAAAATAATTCGCCACAAATTCACGCCAGCATTGCCATTCGGTCCGCCAGCAACCCATCTTCTCATTGCGGCAGTCTTGGTGCGGCGAAACACCACGAAGGCAATCGGCTCATCATTCTCATTCTCCTCGAAGACTCCTTGGTTTGCCCATTGCACAGTCTTCCTCAGTGCGCTGAGGGCATTGTAGCTGCCATTCAGCTGGTGGCAAGGAAACTTTGCTAAGTCTAGCACGCCATTGGTGTACAGTCGCGTTGCCAACGACAGTGGAAGGCAAAGCCAGTCGTACACATTCACCAAGGCGCCAGTGGCATTCTCCTTCACATAGTGAGGAGCCAGCCATTCCACATGCCAGTTCCCTTTGGTAAGGAACAGTCTCTCGGCCTTTGTCATTTCATCCAGCTGTTTGGACCATTCGATTCAGTGTGGATGTTGAGGGAGAGTTCGTATTCTCAGGGAGCTCATTGGACCATTCGAATGCTGGTCCGGGTGGTCGAAACGACACGCAGTCGTTCCTCCACTTCTCGTGCCTGGCATTAGCACACTGACCATTGGGAACATTTGATCGTCCCATTCTCTCTTGTAGAGAGATTCGGCCAGATTCACCTGGGCACGAAGCATTCGATCGGCGAGATCATTCGCCCTCTCGGCCACACTGTCTGGCGATCACAGTCTCCACAACAGTGGTGACCCAGGCATCAAACTCATTCCACACTCTGATGCGCTCGACTCCACAGTCCATTGCAGTCAGGGCGGCGGACACTTCCGCCTTCACAGGGCCATGCCTGCTCAGTCGAGGCGGCACCAGCACTTCGTTCATCAAGTGCCGGGCTTCCCAAGGAACCGCATTCGCTGCCTCATTCGGAGCATCCGGCACCGAATCATTCGGCTCATCAGCTGCAGTCGGAGGGGCAGTCTCCTCTGTGCCATTCCTCACATGGATGCCAAAGGGCGGCATCAATCGCTGCAGGCCCGCTCGTGGGAACATTCGCCGGATCCGCAGTCGGGCGGACCACTGACATTCCCTGCGCCAGTCGCTCCAAATCCGGGCGATCATTCGGAACATTCCCTGCGAGGTGCAGTGCAACCAGGTTGCTTTGCACTCCAGTCTGCCTCACTTCTGCTTCAGTGAGGCCACTCAGAGCGGCAATATGAATCACCAGTTGCTCGGCAGTGATTCGGCAGCGGTTCCATTCTCACTCGCTCAAAGGCTCCACTCTTTGGCACTGCAGTCGAGGGCTTATGGGCCATTGCTGCTACAGTC